AAATAGGTCACCATTTTGAATTTTGTTTTAAACAGAATCCTCGAGGGAACATTATCCTCAGTTCTTTTTGTGTATTAGCTCAGTTTTTCCAGCTGCTTTTAGAATAGCTTCATATTCCTGTCCAGCTGCTGAGCTGCCTTTATCTCCTCAAGGTGATTGGTCTTCAGGAGAATAAGAACAGAGAGGTCCAAAGAGACTGTCCAGATCATCCTAAGTACCTTCTACAGAGCCATGCATGTTCACCCCATGAAATGCCTCTTTGATCTCCAAATTAGGATCATCTTCAGTAAACCTCAAGGTTTAGGATACTTGATATTTGCTTGGGGGTGATCCTTAAATAATACAGATTCCCAGTCCCTTGAGTGGGACCAGGGAACCATCATCCCCTGCTTCCCTAGTGATCTGATGATCAAGTGTTCCACATACAACACGCTCAGAAACATTGATCTAAGAGATCAGATCAGCAGCATACTCCTGTTTAGGCTATCACAGGCTTGTTTTAATTTGCTAACATAGCTTAGTTTCACATCCTTCTCAACATCTAGGTCAGAGAATCTAACAGCTGCAATTCACATTATTACCCTTCCTTCCTGACCTTTTTGACAAACATTTAAAAATTCTGGGCCGAGTGTGATGGCTCATTCCTGGAATCCTAGCACCCTGGGAGGCCGAGGTGGGAGGATCACTTGAGGCCAGGGGTTTGAGACCAGCCTGAGCAAGAGTGAGACCCTGTCTCTACAAAAAACAGAAAAATTGGCCGGTTGTGGTGGTGTGTGCTTGCATTCCCACATACTTGAGAGGCTGAGGCAGGAGGAGCGCTTAAGTGCAGGAATTAGAGGTTGGGGTGAGTTATGATGAGGCCACAGTACTCTAGCTGGGCTAGCTGGGGTGACACAGTGAGATTCTGTCTCAAAAAATATTCTGTTATTTATCTTCTAGAACTTTATACTAGAACCTTTCCTTTCCTAGAGCCTCAGACACAAACAAACGCTTGAGAGGCTACAGTGGCTTTTCTGCCTGGCTGGCTGGTCGGAAACTGCCATGGTCTGTATCATGCTACACTCTCAGGTATAAATAAGGCACCCCAATCTAGGCCACCTCAACAGCCTCCTTTTGATGGATTTCTGTCTAAAAATTCTGTCTAAAAATTGTACTTCATTAGTCAGGGCGAACAGGTGAACCCATTGTTAATAACGATACTAAAAGTAACTGGATAATATCATCATCTTCATAATTCAAAGATAATCTTATATTTAAGATTTTTAAGTGCATTAAATAGAAACATATTTTCCTGTGATTTTCAAAAATTATCATTCTTAGTTTATGATGTTCTAATTTCACGTATGTAAGAAAGGACAGTTGATTTCAGTTTTATTAAACCCTAAACTTAATGCTTGGGAGAAAGGTCATGACACTGTGAATAGACTGAGGGTGTGATGTCTTGTGCGGGAACATCCTCCATCTGTCAGAGACAGAGCTAGACATTCATTCACAACTGGTCTCACCCACATGGAAGAGACTGGCAGAGACAACAGAGACTCCCAGAGGCAATGTCTCCCATCATTTCTGAGAACAACGCAGAAACCTGAGCAAGTGTTCAATCACAAAACACAATGAACATGTACTGGGTGCCCGGTGATGCTTGTCCCTGAACCTAATACCTGGGGATCATGTTCAACAGAACATATGGACACTGATTACCTTGGAGTAGGCTGACCTTGTCCCTGTTAGTCTGTAGGCCAGTTTGGTTCTATCACGTGACACTATACTATTGGCTTTTAAGGAGTTATGACTGTTATTTTTAATCTGCTTGGCTCCTGCCTATAGTGATATTGTAGGAAAAAAGCTGTGCTTTCACACCCATCTCTGGTCCCAAGTTTACGAGAAGTCCTCTTGGAAGGGGCACTTTTCTGGACACCAAGGAAAATATTTATAATGTAATTATTAAGACAGTTGAACTGCAGGATTTAGATAATTCAAAACTGACTTTGGTTCAGTGGTTTGGCCATACCCCAGGATTTGTCCATGGGTCTAATTGGGACACTTTGGGGGAACTATCCTGACTTGCTGATCATCTTTTATTTATAGAGTCATCCTTTGAGTTTGCCCAGTTCTGTTCTGAAAGCTCAGCCTGAACTACACTCACATTTCCCTCACAGGCAGGTGTGGAGATGATCAAGTACACTTCGAAAATGCAGCTTTCAATGTTGAGTGTGAAATCCATTTAGTGGATCACAAGTAGCATCTTTATTTTCAATAAAATATAATAAAAATTTCAGACTGCTTTGCTTACAGGAAGGGTATTGTTGAATGAAATTTTATTTATATTTGTATGTATGTATATGTGTAATGAGTTGCAATGTGAAATAGATTTCTTATTTGGGTTAAGGTTTAAAAGTTCAAGAAATACTGATTTTAGTATTTGACTTTGACCTACAGGAGTTAAGAGCACAAATGCTGGGGTCCTATGTTCCAGTTTGAATCCTGGCTCATCATTTGCTAGCTGTGTGTTCTTTGGCAAATTCCTGCTCTGTGCCATAGTTTTCATGCATTTCATAACTATGATATGAGAATAATAGTAGTAGCTACCTCAGTAGGTTGATAAGTGTATTAAGTAAATTAACATTGTAAAGTGCTTAAAACTTTACCTAGTACATAGTAAGTGACTTATAAATGATTGTAGGGAGAAAAATCTGTTCCTCAAGTATTTTACATATTGAATCAAGACAATAAAGTTCCTGCCCTATGGATATTTATAATCTAATATACACATGCAGACTTGAAAAAGTTGTCTGTTCTGAGTGGCATTATACTGGAATGCTGCCAGAGCGCCTTGGAACCACATCACTGGGTTAAAGCCACAACTCCACCACTCACTTGTTTTGTGAACTTGGGTAAGTTATTTGACTTTGCAAATCCTCAATCTCTTAATCTGTAAAGTGGGACTAATAGAATCTATCTCATGAGGTTGTTGCCAGGATTAAATGGGACCATCCACAGAAGATGCAGAGGGCTCAAGCAATAATTCCTATTGTCATTCTCACTGTTATTCAGATCATGCCTTTTCTTCTTCTTCTTTCCCAATATAATGAAAAGCAACCTCTCCTCTTCTTTTATATGAATGGCTGAGGTCGTCATTTAGGTTGGACTGTGGTGAATCAACCACATAGGGGCTCAGATAAAGACCAATACTCCTGAATAGGAAAGTAATTGTGAGGCCCAGGGGTGGATTCAGACCGCCCCACTGTGCTCTCTCTTCAGCCTTGCTCTCACAACTTAGCTAAGTCACTAGACTTGTCCTTTTTCCTCAGCAGGTCTTCACATCCCCGTGGATAATTCTGAAGTGTCACAATGCAAGCCTGACAGCCGGAGGCCGTTTTGCAGTACAGCCCTCTACCGCAAGCGGGTCACATCATGTTTCCTTCCCCTTCATCTTGGGGGGAGGAAACCGATCAGGACAATGCTTGCTGTCCAATATGATGAAGTGCTTTGTATGATGTATCACTTGTAAATACCACGATAGCATGAAAGGGCTCATTAGCTGAAGGGGCTTTCAACTTGAGCCCTTCAGTTCTTAAGGACCTTTGGCAAAACTGTAATGACAAAGAGAAATCTAAGATTCCTGAGCACCCCTGAGCTTGAGGACCTGCTACTATTTTTCTGTCACTCTTTCCTCTTCTCTCATGGCACACTGCTCCTTGTAGCATTTACCACGGCTTTTACAAATGGATAATGGAGCTATATTATGCAGTATCAATCTCTCGCTTGACCATAAGCTCCTCAAGGACAGGGGACGTGACTTATTCATCTTTGTATCCCCGGCCAGCCCCTGGCACACATCTCAATCAATGTCTGTGGAATTGAAGCTGGTCGAATTTATATCTCAGGTTACAGTGGCAGAGCTCAGAATGGGAATAGAGCTGAAGGCAAATGAGAAATCATTTATTTCCCATTGCTGAGCAGAGTGTTGGCTTCCAAAGAAATTCAAGTCACCCCAAAGGCTGCATCCTCCAGCTCCAGGGAGGACCTTAAGGAGATTCTATGGATGTCTTTGGTGAAAGTTCTTTCTTCTAGTTTTTAGAGGAACTAAGGAAAATGAAGCACCCCATCCTGCATCTTGCTCGTTTACAATCCAGGGTTAGGAGAAAGTAAACTGGAAATGTGAACTCTTTTCATCTTCTGCTTAGCTGATGTACATAGACAATGGTTAGGGCCACAGAGCCCTTTCTTATTCTGGTTGGTCCTAATTAAATACAAGGGTATAATTCATCTTCCTCCTTTTCAAAAGGGTCAAGTCTTTGACTTAACTTTTTAGTTTAAAACAGAAAAAGGCCTTTTGAGAACTTTCCAGGTGTCCAAGCCAGGCACTCTGCCTAAGCCTTATATGTATTTACTGTAATCCTGCTCATAGCCAGACAAAACCAATATTAATGTCTCCATTTATTAATACAATTGAGGAAACTGAGGCCCAGGGCGCTTAAATGGAAACCCGAGATTGGAGATCAGCTCCGTTTGGATCCACACACTGTACCACGGAGTTTCTCCCGTTTTCCTCGAGCACGCTGGTGGGTGCGTGTGTGCGCGCGTGACTGTGCGTGTTTCCTTTTTCTTCCCTATAAAGCCGTCCTTCTGGTCAGTTTTCTTTATTCCACTTTTTAGAGACAAAGTCCAGTTCTTCTCCAAGGTCTCACCTCCCCCTTGCCGTCTCCCTCTGGCGTCCCAAGGACGGCCAGCCACTCCCCCGCTAAGTTTGGAGTCCCAGCCCTTGGCTCCGATTCCCGGCTCCCCTCCCACCCTCCCGGGACCCGCGCCGCGTCCTCGTCCCGAGCGCCCAGCGTTCCTGCGGGACACAGGGGCCCGCGCCTCGGCCCCGCCTCCCCTACCTGACGCCCGCGCGGCCGGGGGCGCCGCAGCCTCCGCCCACCGGCGCGCCGGCCCTGCCATTGGCTCCCCGGGCTGCCCGTCTCCTCCGCTCCGTCCCGGAGGCAGGTTTCGCCGGAGAAGCCGCAGTCCCGGCGGCTCCGGCGCGGCGCGGGAGCACCGTGGAGCGCAGAGCGCGAACCCGAGCGGGCATGTCCCCGCGCTCGGGAGTCCCCGTCGGCCGCCGGGCCCAGGTGGCTGCTAACTTGGCGGCGGGCTCCTGTGGCCCCGTCGCGGCCATGTAGTCGCCGGCGGGGCTCCCTGCAGCCCGGGAGCGGCAGTGCGAGTGAGCCGGAGCCCAGCAGCCCGCGGCTTCCCCGGGAGGCGCTGAGTGCGCGCCGCGCCCCCGCCGCCCCTCGGGCGGCACTTTGGCCCGAGAGGGAAATGGGGGAGAAAGTTTCGGAGGCGCCGGAGCCGGTGCCCCGCGGCTGCAGCGGCCACGGCGCCCGGACTCCCGCCCCTGCGCCGGTCGCCGCGTCCTCGCCGGCTGCTTCCTTGGCCGAGTCCTCCTCGGGCTCAGAAACTCTGTCGGAGGAAGGGGAGCCCGGCGGCTTCTCCCGCGGGCAGCAGCCGCAGCCGCCGCCGGGCGGCGCCCTGGGCGTCCGCCTGCCCGCCGCGTGGGCTCCCGCGCGCGTGCTGCTCGAGCGTGGAGTCCCAGCGCTGCCGCCGCCGCCCCCCGAAGGAGCTGCGCCGCCCGCGCCCCGGGGCAGCAGCGCGTCCCAGGAGGAGCAGGACGAGGAGGTGGGCCCCGCCTTCCCCTGGCTCGCCCCCTCCGGGTCCCGGGCGACCCCAGCTCCCCACTTCGCACGCGGGCTGTGGGCGAGGGCTCGCCTTGGCCTGGAGAGGGGGAGGGACCCCTTGCGCTCTGCCGCGAGCCCTCGGTGATGACAGTTAGGAGCCTCCCTGTGGGTCACTGACTTCCCCGTGGCTGTTACCCCGTGTGTGTCTGTCTACTTGCGCTGCCTAATGGTCTGCTGTTAACATGTCAAAGCGGCAGACTCCTTAATGTCTGTATCCTGCTTTGATCCGTCTGTGAATGGATGCGATCTGGACGCCTGGCATATTCTCACAACTGAGATCTGATTTCCAAAGTGGGAGTTGTTTCCCACCGAAGCGCTTGGGCCAAGGGGGATGGAGGTTGGGGACGGAGAGGCGGGGAGTTGCACGGCGGGGTTTCAGTGTTACCAGCCCCCTGGGGTCTCCCGCGGGTGGTTTTGGGGTGTCGTGGTAGCATCTGTCCCGGGAGAGGAGGGCTCCCCGCGCTTGGGCGGCGGCGGAGGCATGAGCGCCTGCAGCTCCGGTTCGGACTTGTTTCCAGGGTGTCTAGATGAGCGCTTGTCACCAAAGCAAATAGGAAACGTCCCGTCTTGTTCACGGGATGTGTCCTTCTTAGAACTCGTGGGTCGCTTCCTGACACACCGACTTTGGTGTCCTACCGGCTGTTGTCTTTGGCTTTTTTCCTGCTTTTGGAGGACAGTTAAGGAAGCATAAGGTTCTTCGTGTCTTTAAAGATTGTTTGCTTTGGACGTTTCTTGTGGGGAAGTCATCTTGATCAGGCAGGGCCGTAAATAAAACATCATCCTAACATAGCCTCGTCGTGAAATTAATTCCTCAGTGCCGGAGTGGTATTTCCCTGATCTGATTGGGTTAGCTTTAGTAAATGACTGCCTTTGTCCCTTAGAAGCAAGTGGCCGCCCCTGGGTCCCCAGCCTGGAAGCAGAGGCTAGATCTGGCACAAGATGAGAGGAGGCCAGTCCTAACCTGGCAGAGATGGAGCGAGCCTTAGCCGTCATTGGCCAACCTCTTGCAGTAACCATGACCCATTCCTGAATCCCCCCTTCCCCTTTGCAGGATCCTGACTCCTGTTTCTGGTCCAGGGATTTTGGATGGATCTGAAGTTCCAGATTGATCCTAGTGGCAGGATGTTGGGAGTTCTCTGAGTGTTTAACCACTCACCGAGTTATGTCCTGGGAGAGAGGAACAAACCTTTTCCTATACTAGCATTCCTTGCTGGTTATATCTCCCTTTGAAGATGCCGGGCATGTGCCAGATGTTTGTGCTGTGACTTCTGCCTCAACTTTCAGTGATGTCACACTGTCACTGGGAAAACTAGGGAAATACCCTAACTTAATGATTTACCATTAGATTCTAATTTAATATTGTTACTGGTAGAGAAGATGGTAAAGTTAGTTGCCCTGTTTTAGCTGTAAGAGATACAGCCCTGGGGGGCAGTCAGGAACTTCTCAGATCTGATCCCAATTCTGTAGTTGACTTATTGCCTGGCTTCAGGGTGACAGTGTTTTACTTTCTTGGAAGTGGATATAATGATAGCTTATTTCACAGGCAATGCAGTGCAAATTGGTTGTTTGAAACAGTTTGGAAAGTGGAATGACTAAATAACATTGGTCACTGTTTGTGAAATCTCTGAATTGGATGTAAACTGACACAGTATTGCAGTTCGTTGTGTAACTTAACCTGTGGCAAGGGATCCTGGAAATTGTCCAGGAGTGAAATCTTGGCTGGCTCTAAAAATTTTAAAGCGAAACTAAAACTATGGTGGTTTTCTTGTCCTTCCTTAGGAGTAGAGAAGTGCGATAGTCTTGGTGAAAGGGGTTGAAGTCCAGTGTGCATTTTCTGGTGCTTACCCTGGTGAGGGTGTGGTGCAGTGGGTCTTAGCCTTTTGTGGTGTTGTGGGCCTCTTTGAGGATCTAGTGAAAGCTCTCTGGCCCCTCTCCCTAGAAAGCACACACAATTGTAAATACCATTCCAGAGGGTTCAGGAAGGCCAAGTTACAAACAGTTTAGTGGAAAGTCTTGCTTTGATATCTCCCTCTGTCACCTTAATCAGGTGTGGGGTTGTAGACCATTCAACTTCTGTAAGCCTCAGTTTTCTCACCCTTTCAATGGAAATAACAGCAATAGAGTTGGGTATTTTACACACTCCATCTAATTTAATCCTAGCAAAGTAGCTAACATATATAGCATTGAGTGCCAAGTAAGTATTACTAAATATTAATTTTTCAAGTTCTTTTGTGACAAAATTTTATGAAATGGAAGTACAAGGTTGGGCTGTCCTGTTCTTTCATTAATGCGTATTTTATATGCTACCTACTTTCAGAGAATCTGAGGCTATGTCTATTCAGTTTATTCCCATTTTATTAGTATAAGCTGGGAAACAGTTTTCATTTGTCCCAGGTTGTATTTTGACAAGTTACTGTGAATGTAGTGTTATATTATAGCAAGGCACTGAGTATAAAGCACCAAAGGCTTAAGTGTAATTCAGAAAATGGAAAGAAATTTATTTTAAAATTGTTATGTCTAGCTTGGGAAGATTCATTATTTTCCAAAGTTGTTTTTTTTTTTTTTTTAACAGTAACTTGTCTCAATATTAAAAAGCAAAATTCAGGTTTCTAATGTATTATTGTGTGCTAATTTTTTTGACAACCTTGTTAAAGTCATTTTGAATAGGTCAACCATTTGACCTATTTCATATTTTATCTTACTGTCAATATTTGTATAAACTTACTAAATTTCTACACTTAAGTCAGCCTTTTAAGCTACTGGTGTCTTAAAAACAATAGCTTAACATGACACTAATTACAGTTTGTACTTAATATCAAACACGTGAAAGTTAGAGCTAGAGGGTGACTTTGTTTTAAAAAACTGCATCTGACTTGTCCTTCACCAAGCTTGTGGATTTGGGGTCTCTGGGTGAAGGGCTATCACACTGCATTTCTGACAGTGAAAACAATCTAGATTGGAGGACTGTTTCCTTGATAACGTTTCTGAAATTTGCCTTTAGGCATTCTGCCTTGTCCCTTCTCAAAGCTCTTTGTGGGGGCTCTAATAAAGTACTCCACTGCTGTTTGGTAACCATGTTGGTAAACTTGTTGAAGGCAGGAATTTTGTCTTTTATGCCTAGCACGGTGCCTTTAATATATTAGTAGGGGCTCAATAAATATACATTGAATGAATGAGAAAAAAATGACATCTTTAAAAGTAGTTGCACATTTGATTGAAGGGTGACTGTGTGATTCATTTATTTTGTCTGTTGTGAATTATGATGCTCAAATCTCTAGACCTCCCACCAAGAAAAACATTATGCATCACAGCAAAAAATATTATGAAGAGTTTTTCTAGGTAAATTTTGAACAAAGTCAAATCACTGAGCTTTTACTTCGAACACTTTTGAAGGGACTTGTGTATTAACTGTTACTAACTCTGCTTCTCACTGTGTATATTAGAACTTGAAACTTTCAGAGATTCTTAGAATGGTAGAAAGGGCTTAGTAGCTAAAGGATTTCCAACTCAATATATACAACCTATTTATACTCTGCTGCACTAAGGGATTTATTTTATTGGCATAAGGTGGGAAACAGTTTTTCCTTATTAACAATAGGCACAGTTATGGGATGTCTTTAAACTCTTCTATTAAATGAAATATGAGTGTGAGGATTGCTTTTAACATCATTTTGGGTGTGCCTGTGGGTTCCCACATGGTAGTAATGCAGTGGGTGAGTTTCTGATGGTGTTGGTTAAGAGGCTAGATGGCAAGAAACAACCATGAATCCAGCAAAGCTTTTCATTGAATTTATATTTTATTAATCACAGCAGCTACATAATACAGAAAGAGAAGTAGTGCATAAATCTTGGCGTATTTATTATTTAATCTACTTTTGGACTCACTGCTTCAGATCAGAAAGTCACTCAATTAACTGAACAGTATATGTTCACTGTGACTCTGTGTGAGGGATCATCCTGGGCACAGAGATGGTTTTGACCTCAGGGAGCTTCTCTAGTGGGGGAGATAGTCACTAAATGCATGGTTATTAATTAATTGGTTTTAAAGGTGGCCAGTGGGGGAACAGGCTGTAAGGGCGTGTGTGACCATACTCATTGAGTCTGGAGTTATGGACTGCCTCACTGAGGAAGTGATGTGTGAGCCCCACCCAGAGGATGAGTAGGAGTCAGATGGCGGAAGGGAAGGGATAGGCATGACCCAGGTAGCAGAGGCCCTGAAGCTGGAGAGAACATGGTGGGTCAGTGGCTCTGAGAGGAATCGGGTTGTTTGGCGTGGAGGAGAGGAGAACCTGGAGTCAGATGACATTTGAGAGAGCAGCAGAAGCTGGGTCATACAGAGCTGTTTGGACATTCTTCTAGGGGCACTGGGAACCTATGAAGGATGTGAAGCAAGGAAGTAGCTTGATCAGATTTGCGTTTGGGGACAGCCAAGGCAGCATGAAGCCCACCTGTTGGGAAATGTTGCAATAGCCTATCAAATTGTTCCAGAATTTTAATTGATAAGCTAAGAAGATGATTGTTTAGTAAATGCTATGTACATGAGACAGGGGTCACTGGTGGTAGTTTAGGTACTCCAGGCAGTTACATAAGAAATATAATAGGAAAAGAATTTAACTCAATTCAAGAGAACATCTTAGTGTGAATATTAATACTACTTTTCACTGGGATGTTGTCTCAGGCCTGGTATTTTCTTGAAGGAAGAACTTCATTGCCGTGAGTGGAGAGAAAGAAGAGGGCCTTGCAAATGCTCGTTTCCATAGTAAATTTTGGGGGATGCATTTACCCGAGGTGAGCAGATGGGGAGGTGGTCTGAGATGGTGCCTCCCTGTTGACAAGAAGCGTGGAGTTTGGGTGCCAACACACATCACCAGAGTCTGGCTTGTTAGCTTGGATTTTCCTAGAGCGGGAAGGGCCAGCATCAAAGAACTGGCTTGCACCCTT